CCCCAAAACCCCAAAACCCCAAAACCCCGCGCATCAGAATATATCGAATAATATATTAAGCTTGAAATAAAATTTAGCAATTATTAAATCGCATCTAGTTAGAGAAGAAATGGAGTAAACTCCGCCAACTTAAAAAGCCACTCCAGACAATCAGAGTGCCATACTCCAGCCCCTGCCTCTGATTATGAGACATCAGATCCAGGGCGGCAGCGAAGAGAAGAACTTGCTTTACGGCAAACTCAGAGGATTCAACTAGAACAGAAAGGTAAACGCCAGCGACAAGACTAAAAAAGAAGAGTCTAGTGATGACAGCGACTACTTCTCAGATCTTGATTAGCAGGAGGAGAAGAAAAACGAGGAGGGTAAGCGATGCAGACATAAAGAGATAAAGGACTATAAATGCACAAAATGCAACTACCAGGTGCACAACTTCTAGTCGTTCTTTGACAGCGGCTAGATACAAACTTACATCAGAGTGCTGTTTCTCACAGAGTCTGAAAATATGATGGAGACCATATACCCCAAAAACTCGGCAGGGCTCAACCAGGCCATCACACCCAAACTTATATTTGAATGCTACAAACCAACTAACGTCATTCAGATGAGAGAAGTCATACTTTACATGATTCACAAAAATCTAAGAAATCAACTCAAAAATAATCCACAAAACTACAGCGAAATAAAAAAGTTAATAAATATTTAAATGGCTCAAGACCCTGACGCTCACAAATACACGCACAAATTTAAAAACTACCTTAAGCAGTACAGAGATCAAAAGCAAAAGATTATGCTTAGTGGAGACACCTTGTTTATTGACTCCCTGTTTGAAAGTGGGAATCTTGAGAAGGCTTACAGGGTATCTAATAAAGGACAAAACTATGAATTATTTATGAATGTAGATTCGAACACCAGAGGCCACTAACAGTGGTTTTACTTCAGAGTCAGAAATATAAAGGCTAATGTTCGCTATACTTTTACCATTAGAAATTTTACAAAGGGTCAGTCACTTTACAAAAAGGGCATGAAAGTTATGTGGAAGAGTAAGATTGTATCCAAGAAGATAGATGAGGACTATCTAAACTAAAACATACTCTTCAGCGATAAATAATGGCATCATGGATGGGAACAGCTAAGTGACTAGTACATCAGTGATGTGGAGTACTTCAAAAGCAACTGCGAAAGAAGTCATATTATCAGAGGACTGTACAAAAAGTACTTTAAAGAGGACGATGACACTATTGATACTTCAAATGTTGAGATTAAAGAACGTTGAGGAGGACCTAAAAAGCATTACCATTGCTTAGAATTTACTGTTAACTTTCCATATGATAATGATACAGTCTACCTGTCATATTCAAGGCCATTTTAATACTCTCAGGTAATGCTAGATATAGTAAAGTTTGAAAATGAGTTGAAGTTCTTTTCCACCGAACCAGTCATAGAGCAGAACAATTCTAATCAATATGAGGAAAATATTTCAATTAACTCAGGTAGCATATCTTATTAGAGAAATACTATGTGTTTAACGATAGCCGGGCTTCCTCTTCCAATAATAACAATTACTAATTAAAATACAGACAAAAAATATCAAACTAAAAAGCAAGTAATATTGGTAAGTGCCAGAGTACATCCAGGAGAGACTAACTCAAGTTTCGTCTTTGATGGATTTTTCAAATTTATCACTACAACTAACTCTCAATCTGCCAATTTCTATATCGCATAGGCTTTGAGAGAAGCATATATTTTCAAATTAATTCCAATAATGAATCCTGATGGAGTAGTCTCTGGTAATTACAGAACTTCTTTAGCCGGAGTTGACCTAAATAGGCAATGGATCAGTCCACATCGATTCATCCATCCTCCAATTTTTTTTCTTAAGCAAAATATTGAGTAAATATCCAAAGATAGAGAAATTTTGCTTTACTGTGATATGCATGGTCATTCTAAGAAGAAGAATGCTTTCATTTATGCTTGTAATGCTGCCGCTAATGGTGGATTTTAATCATGGACCAAAGTCAGACTCTTTCCAAGAATATTAGCCAAAAATAGTTATAGATTTAATCTTAATGATTGCACTTTCAAAGTTTAGAAAAGCAAACTGGGCACTGCGAGAGTTGTAGTCTGGAAGGAATTTTCAATTACTAATAGTTTCACTTTAGAGAACTCATTTTTTGGCTACGATTATGGAATCGATGGAGAGGTCAGGGAATTTAAAGTTATTGACTATTCTGAACTTGGTTTTGAAATAGCTAAGTCTCTATGGGAGTACAACTAACTTTGCGCTTAAATTTAAAAAGAACTAAATCTGACTAAAGGATGGCTAAAGCCTAAACTTTTGCTATAGGTTACTGGCATACCTGCTGCTGAGAAAATAAAGCAAGAGATTCAAGAGCTGAAAAAGAAGAAAATTTAAAATATCATATAACTGTCCCCTTAACCAAATAATAAGTTCACTAAGATGCAGACTCAGACTTCAATAAAGCAATCATTCACTCTCACAAACAATAATATGAATTCATCCTAGTATATCAATGACAATCAAAATCAATCTAAAAAGTTGAGAACTTAGCCTCAGCAAAAGAGTTAAAACAATGAAGATAACATCTTGCTTAAATCGATATAAAATGATAACTTGAAGCAAATCATTAGAATACAAAGATGGTGGAGAGTTCAAATCAAGAACAAAAATTTAAGGGATGACTTGATGCTCAATTTCGATACAATTTAAACAGTGGACCCTGATAAGTTGCTAAATACAATGGATAACTTCACTCCAGACGATAATTTAGAAGATGAATTAGGATTTCAAAGTGAGCAAACGCCTTAGTCAAGCAAGATTATGAATAAGAGATATAAAATAGATGATACTAAAGATGATTATACAATGAATACTCCAAGTAATAATAGTAGACCTTAGTTTAAATTTGATTGGAGAGAGTATTTCAAAATTGATGAGTTAGAACAAGCTTACAATCTCATTTTGTAAGGGAAAGAACCCAACATTGAAACTGAGAAGTAAGAATCAGATGAGGGAAGTGACTCAAGCCCTAGTGACGATAATCTAGATATTTAAGAGCTTTACACAATTATCTACGTAAGGAAAAAGTACTTAAAAAGGGAAATACAGTAAAAGATCTAAGATGAGCAAGAGTATCTGAAGAAATTCGAAAAATACATAAAAAAGCAGATTAAGCAGATTAAGAGAATGGGCTCTAATCAAAATAATTCACTTGAGTCAATTGATCCTGATAAAGCATCACCTTAAAACGATATCCAGCCCAAGAAGTTTTCAAAGATAACATTGATTAAAAGGTCTAAATCTAAAGAGTAGTTTCAGAACAATCTGAACGGAGGGGAATTGATATCGAGAGACTAAGGACTTAAATAAATGTCCAAAATGAATAGATCTTTCAATCAAGAAGATCCCTATAATTTTACTGCTGAGTCTATTAATAATCTGACTGAAAATATGTTTATGATGAGCAGTCTAAATAATGACAATAATAGCAATCAACAGACAAGCAGCAAGGTTGAAATTAAAAAGTAGTTATCCCCAACAGTTTTAAATAACTCTATAAACTAAATTGGCCTGAAAAAGTTTAGACTAAAATCTCCAATTCAAAAGATTGATTAAATTTCTTCAAATAATGACTAACTAAATAGTTCTGCTAACCAAATCATTAAGTCATTTACTGATTAGAATGTAAAAGACTCCATATCAATAAATAAAAATGCCAACATAATTCAAACTGCAACTTAGAAAGTGAGTATAAACTAAAGAAGATAGTTGAAAAGCTTAGAATCGGCAAGAGATTCAATAACATCTGCTTCAAATGATCAAATGCTAAGAACTAACTAATCCTAATTTAACGATAATTAGAATCCATACGGGGTATAAATGTCAGCAAGACCAACAGTGAATTCAGTATAATAAGATAGAAGGAAAAGTGCTTTGGATTCATTATAAAAGGCTTAAAATCACAATTATCAAAATCTAGTGCCATAGCAATCTTAGAGCAAAACTGTGTTTATGCAAAATTAATATCCATTGCTGCCCTTGCTCAATATGGAAGGGACTAATGTAAAAAAGACTAATAATATTTACTAAAGCTAACAGATCCAAGAATAGTACATCATTAATCGAGAAGCTCAGACATAGATGAAAGACTTCATTGATGTATCTATGGAAATGAAATAGAAGCGACAGCAGTTCTAAGTAAACTAAAGATAATCAATCCAACTAATAGTTCCAAATAATGATAATTAGAACACAATGAATACAAGTTCTTAATCATTTTTCAACAAGAGAATAAAAAGCAAGTCACCTGATTATACTCATGCTTAGGCACTTAATAATTCAGGCAATCAATAGCTGAGTGCAACAAACTCATTAATGGTTATACCTCAAAATAAAACCCTGAACTCTAATTAGTCTTAGCAAATTTACTTGCAAGTGCCATAAACAACTAATATAAGCGGAATTCAAAAATAGAGCTTTAAACTGCAAGGTCTAATCCCAAGTATGCCAATACAGACATAGCAAAGACAATCTTTAAGCAGCCAAGGAAATATCAAGTAACCCATTTATCAGAAGCAACAGCAACAATAATAATTCTCAATTGAGGGTAATAATTACACCCAAAGATAACTTAACCAACCACCAAATTATCTAGAAAGCCACAGAGTTCATACTAATAGTCAATTAGCCAGTATTAAGAATAGAAAGATAAACTCCCTGTCTCCATAATAATAGAAAGATAGTAATTACATTGGTCATAGTAAAATGCAAAACAACTACATATAATCAGTTTAGAACTAGAGTTAAGTCATATCAAATTAAGTTCAAGATATTGCAAAGAGGCAGCACTAGAATGTCAGACTGAATGAGAGATCACTAAGTCCAAATGACAAGGTTAATCTCTTAGAAAATCTAGGATCAGACGATGAAGGCATTGCTGATCATATCTAAGAAATCAATCAAATCGCCAATGAAATGATGATAATGAGGCAGCATTAATAATTCACTGGCAGATCATTTCTTGGCAAGAATAATGCCTTCATTGAGTAGAAAGGTAACCCAAAATACTAGAACAGGAAATGAGCCTAATAATCACCTAATTTTAATTTCATGATAAATTTATTTGACAATATTTTAAAAGTCTTCCCAAATGGGGTTTTGGGGTTTTGGGGTTTTGGGG